ACACATGCTTCAGTAGGAAGACACATGCTTCAGTATTGACAAATGCTTCAGTAGGAAGACACATGCTTCAGTAGGAAGACACATGCTTCAGTATTGACAAATGCTTCAGTAGGAAGACACATGCTTCAGTAGGAAGACACCTGCTTCAGTAGGAAGACACATGCTTCAGTATTAAGACACCTGCTTCAGTAGGAAGACACATGCTTCAGTAGGAAGACACATGCTTCAGTAGGAAGACACATGTCACCCTTCTGCATCCTTTCCTGTGACTCTTAGTGGCATTATAAAAAGTGGGATTATATACTTCATGGGAATATAATGAAGTTAAATTTTCTTTAAATTGAGTGGATATCACACCCTCCAAATAAAATAGGATGGTGAAATCATGATTTCACTGTAAAGTTTAAAAACTACCTCATTAGAAGGGATCCTGAAATCATTTCCTGAACATTTTATCTAATATATCATGAAATACGGGAATGGGGAGGGGGGTATAATTTCAATGCAGATGTGGAGGCTATATTCCCTGAAACAGATATATATAACTAATGTATGACTACAGGACAATTGCATTAATTGTCAGATTGCATTAAAGTATGTGTAATCTTTTCATAGTTGTTCATCGCTGAATTCTTAATGATGCTGCAAAAGTATTTTGTGTGTGTGTGTGTGTGTGTGTGTGTCCCAATATATATTTGGTTTCATCTTCTAGGGTCCATTTAACACATGAATGAAAAACTGTTTTGGGATAACGGGCCATCAGCTGTTTGCTGGTAACTGCAGACAAATAAAAGACACTGAAGTCATCCGTCACGTCAGTTGGTTCCACTTCCGTAAATCCCGACGAAGAGCTGCAGGTCAAATCGAAAACCTATTTTCCTCTCGGAAGCCGAAAGGAAGGACTAATCTGATCAGCGTGTGAACCTAGCTCGGCGAGTTCGATGTACCTGGGTTTTCGGCTGTCCGCGTCGCCGGGAACGAGACAGAGGGGACGGCGTCCTCACAAAGACACGCCAGGGGGCGCTGTGGGGAGAAAGCGCTGTGTCGGCTAGCGCGGAGGGACGGTGGAAGCCCCAGGTGCTTTTAATTAGGAGCGTTCGGTGCCCTCAGGGCTGGATTTCTGCCGGTTTTAAAAAAAACTCTTTAATTAGCACTTGATGGACATGAAAAACCCAGGTGAGGTGACTTACTATCCAATTAATTGCTTGACTAAAGCAATTAAAAGCTGGGGTTGTGTTAAACCAGCACACCCCCGGAGGCCTTAAGCAAAGGGGTTAGGTGCCCCGTACTCCCAGTACCCAATCTGTGGTCTGTCACACTGTGTCACTGCATTGATGTCTCCGCGAATGCCTGAATTCCCTATATTAATGACGTAACCGTGAATTAGTTTCATTCATTCTAATTATGCAAGCGCAACACGCCGTGTGCCGTGCTTGCGATACGATTGTCCCTGTACCTGAAAGTTATCAGTGTTTGATTTTGTTTATGAGAAAATCTATTATGAGCCTCTGTGGAGGCTAATGGGACGATTATTGCAAGTCATTGAATTGTAGTAAGTTGTCAGTGAAGATTTAAAAATAGGATGTAGCGTCATGTAATCGCCATGTTTGTGGAGGCGTTCTTCAGAGGTTTACTTTCTTCCCACTGTCTGACGACATGCAGTTACGTGACCTGGTAGCTTTAAATGGCCAGCGGTCTGTGGTCGTGTTTGTGAGTGTCCTCCACGTCAGCGGAAGGCATTCCCCCCCCCACTTTGCTGCCTTGTGCCTTGCTCTTCTAGGATTGGGAGTTAGAATTACTAGTTTGTTTTTTTTGTTTCTGTGTCTTGAGGAATGATTGGGGTGGAATGATGAGGCTTTTACTGCTTATGGGATGACTGACCAATAGGGTGTCAGTATCTGGATTTGTTGTCCTGGAATTCTGGGAAACCCCGCCTCTTGTTTGTCAGCAGGATATCACCTGAGTGGTGGATGGCACTTTTCTCTGCCCCCACCTGAAGCCATATCCCCATCCCCCTACGTGAACACAAGGAGAACATGCAAACACTACAGATACAGAGCAGAGAGACAATTCAAACCCCCCAACACTAGAGGGCACCATCCTTCCTCATTCCACTAGCATATACATGTTCAGTACCACTGTGTACGACTGAGGTAACTTCTGTCCCATCTTTCTGGAGGGAACGTACGTGCACATGCACGTCTCTAACTGATCTCGGGTCAGGGAGCCTGAGCGATCTTCTTCCAGAAATTGAGTTTAGTCCAGTTACTCCAGTTACTTATTTAATCGTCCAATGTATGATATTGAGCTGTGTGAAGTTTTTGTGGTGGCTATAGTTCCAATCCCGCCACCAACCCCAAAATCCTTCCCTGCAAGTAGGAAGACCTGCTTAACAGATAGACGGTCATTTCCGGAGGGTGGGACTGGACCGTGTGTCAGCCTGGGGGGTTAATTCGTGTGGTGGGTGCAGCAATGCTGTGCACCAGTTCATGCTCCCCAATCTCACCTGACCTGTATGATATTCCTAGCATTCCTTCATTGTTTATAAACATTACCACCAATTTTTCTGTGGTTCTTAAAGCCTAATGCCTAAAATACCTGATATGCTTTCACAATTTTTCCCACTAGCGTGCACTTTGGGACAAAAAACAATGTGCAAATTCACGTATGAATATTTCACTGTTACTTTAGTGGTGACGTACTAACTTAAAAATATCACACAAGACACACATACAGTTAAATGTGATTGATTGTATTAGTTACGGAAGGATTAGAGTAACCCTCTGATTACGGAAGGATATGATTCATACTACTGGTAATTATGGTTCATTTAGAACATTCATTTTGAGTTATTGGAGGCTTATTAATAAAAACATTGTATTCAGTCCTGGATGCTACTTCAGACAGCGTCTATTCTCTCTGCCAAGGACTTACTGCAGGAATATCTTTGTTCAGTCTTGTTGGAGCTGGAACTAATCTCAGTTAGGCATTTACTGTCCCGCTTCGAGCTAAATCACTCAGGCTGGAATAGATGGGGAGCAGAAATGGTGTTGGCCTCACAAGCACATGCCAAAACACAAACACACACACACATTTGTATTTATATCTTTGTGGGGACCATCTGTTTATTTCTACGGGAAAAACCCTAATCCCAACAATGATAACCTTAACCCCTACCCAATCCTAACCTTAACTGTAAGTAACCAAACAAAATACAAGGCTATTGCCATTTTTAGTTTTTTGAATATAGTCACAGATTTGAATGAAATTCAAAAAATGGTCCCCACAACGTCAAAATAACAGGTTCTTATCACACTGTGGGGACATTTGGTCCCCACAATGTAATATATATATCACACATACACACACAATGCTTTCCCAATCTTTGGACCAAATAAGTTACATCAGACCCTTCAGTCATTATGTTCCTTTAGCATGTTTGTATTTATTCACCTTTAGGCTGTGTAGAACGAATGCTAACCTTTTTCCCGTTTTCCGCTACAGATGAATGCATCAGGAGATTCTGACCTTCTGTGACCGCCTTTCCTGAGACCATAAGACCTAGCGATCGGTCGCTAAAATGATTAGCAATGCTAGTGCGGCTGCCTCAGCCAATCACAGTTCAGGGTCCGGCAACCTCTACCGGCCCTTTTCGGTGTTCAGCGTCCTTACGCTGACCCTGCTGGCCATGCTCGTGGCGGCCACGTTCATGTGGAACGCCCTGGTACTGGCCACCATCCTGAGGGTGCGCACCTTCCATCGCGTCCCCCACAACCTGGTGGCCTCTATGGCCATGTCCGACGTGATGGTGGCCGTGCTGGTCATGCCGCTCAGCTTGGTCCACGAGCTGAACGGAAGACGCTGGAAGCTGGGCCGGGCCCTCTGCCAGCTCTGGGTCTCCTTCGACGTCCTCTGCTGCACAGCCAGCATCTGGAACGTGACCGCCATCGCCCTGGACCGCTATTGGTCCATCACCCGGCACCTAGAGTACACCCTGAAGACCAGGAAGAGGATCTCCAATGTGATGATCGCCCTCACCTGGCTCCTGTCGGCGGTCATCTCCCTGTCGCCGCTCTTCGGCTGGGGCGAGACCTACTCGGAGGAGCGGATGGGTTGCCAAGTCAGCAGGGAACCCTCGTACACCGTATTCTCCACTGTCGGAGCCTTCTACCTGCCTCTCTGCGTCGTGCTGTTCGTTTACTGGAAAATATACCGGGCTGCCAGGTTCCGGATTGGATCCCGCAAGACTAACACCATCACCCCCATGGCAGAAGTCGTGGAGGTACGGCTGCCTATTTTACAGGCTACTTTAAGGGTTTCAGAGAGCTGATACAACCAGCACCAGATACATTAGAGCCAGTACTCACTGTATACCGTCGAACCTAGATACTGACACACAACGCAGACGGTGTAAGTAATTACTGAGCAGAAGGTGCGTAAACAGGGGTATTACCGCTGTGGGAAGGGGACGCGGCGGCGGAGAGAACCGGCGCTGCTCGCATCGTGGGAATAGGAAGGAGCAAAATTCACAGCAGAATTCAATATTAGTTTAAATCCCAGGTGATGGGTTACGATGCACCGGGATTTCCGAAAGGCTAGGTGCTACGGTGATGAAGACATCATCAGACGGTCTCCTACTTTGACGTTTGATGTAAGTAAAATATCCACCGTGCCAGAAATACAGCCACCCAAGGACTGTCTAACTTGTTAAAAAGCAATGATGTAGCTCGTAGGAAAAGTGGCTTTTTTTTCTCATTGCCAGAGTCAGAGTTCTTCCTCGCGCCGTGACAAGAGGCAGCCTTTGAAAATAACTGACAATGAGAAAGCCAAAATGTAGAACGTGGGAGCAGAATGCAAACAAAAATGAGGATTTGACTTTGAAACTATTTTCAGCACCCAGAAGGTTGTTTTTTTTTTTTTTAGGTTTGAGGATAATCCTGTCGACTACAGTAAAGGGTGGAATTTCGTGTGTCCGTGTCTCCTCCGACAGAGCTGAAAGCGAGCACCCTAAATCACGCCCTTCTGTGAATCAACTGTAGGACTCTGACAATCTGGATATTCTTGTACATGATTCTATGGAATGGAACAAACAATGTAGAATTCATAAGAAATGTTTATGGTACCGGGACAGCTGGAGATGATGGGATTTAAAAGAATTTTGTTATTGAAATAGAACCATCAAAACAAGAAGTATATGTAGCAATATAACGCGCTTTATAACGAGACCTAGAGCAACACCACTCTCATCTTCTGTGCTGCAGTACTGCTTAATGGCTAATTACTGATTCACTCTCCACTGATGTCCATACATCCTCTGCATTGCCCTGTGGATGGAATGATGCGTGGGGGGTGGGGTATGACCCCTCATGGTTCTGATGAAGGGGAGGTGGAGAGTCAATACGGCTTCTAAATCACATACGTGCTGCACCCTTGCCTGTAGGACAAAATGACGCAAGAAAAACACAGATGGTTTTAGGTGCCGCCCGGGCATCTCGGTGGTAAATATCTCAGTCGGCGTGAAACGCTCTCCAGAGCGACTCTGACGCCCACACCTCTGTGCCCAAAAAAGCAGTCATTGCTGGTTACCTACAGCAGTGTTTCCCAACCCGGTCCTCAGACACCACAGATGCTCCATGTTTTCGCTCCCTCCCAGCTGCCCTGCCTTCCAAGGGAGCAAAAACGTGGGCTGACTGGGTTGGGAAACGCTGACCTAGAGGAACCGGTGACACCCTTGCGTGTTCATGATTTGGGCTGCTTCAGAATACTGTCAACTGGGGAAAACAAAGCCAGTGTCTCTGAAACGCACTGCGCACCTTCCAGTTAGGGACGCACTGATACCAGTACTGTCCTCGTACTCATGGGTACCTGCAGCTGCAGAGACTGTGCCAACCCTTGGCATTTAGACTTGTAATTATTTGGCTAACGTTATGTTAATGTAATGTTTTTTTCTGCCTCATTATTTCCGCAACAGAAACATAAAAAGTAGAGAAGGGCTCCATGATTGTGGGTAAATTATGAATCACGATTTTTTTTCTCCCTCTCAGAATCTGGATTGTGATTCTCTCTCACGATTCCTGAGCAATATATTTGTATTTTTTGTGATTATTTTGCATCACATGCCATCTTTATGAAGATGGAACGAACAATATGTAGAGATGCATATGGTATATTGGTTCACAAACCGATATTGCCGTCTGTTAGGCCTGTTTGAGCTTGATCAATATCTGAAGTTGGAAGCACCAGAGCTAAAGACACAACTGCTGAAATAATGGAGACGACTGCATTGGGCAATCAGTGATTTTCCGTATTGGAGGATGAGGGATTTTGTCTCAAAGTACTGGTCCACAACATGTTTATAATTCATTACATCTGACCCTTACATTGATTTTACGTTTTGCACAGATTAAAATATATTGAAACGTTATTCCGGTAATCTGCGCCAGAAAGCTCAGCAAATTTCTCCGCCAGCATCCCCCATGTCCACTCCCCACTTGGCAAGTGGCTCAGAGATTAGCTGATCATTAGTTTGGGCAATATTAGACAAAAATATATCGGATATTGGTTGAAACGTCCACATCGGGGCACCACTAACGATATATCTGTTACTGAAATGGGACTGTCACATCAACTTTGCAGAATAGCAAAGGCACATTCCTAGCGTCTCCATACTCGTCTCCAAATGAAAGAAACTCTAAACATAAAGTTAGTCTCTTTATTATAACACCTGTTTTTCTGCCCCCTGTGCCTGTCACATGGTGCAACAATCCTGCAACAATCTATCACGCAGCAAGCGCTAGCAGAGAGAGAGAAAACGTCAAATGATAACCCTTGTGCAGTGAAAATAACGGAAGCAGACCTGCCATGCGTATTGCTCATTCCTGGAACAACAGGACCCTCCAAAGTGCCATTTTGTCAGTCACAAAACTGCAATAGTGATCTTCCTTCACCTAGTCTTTTATATAGCTCATTACGATACTAGGTAACGACAGAATCTCAACGACGCGATTCATACTCATTACAAAGTCATTCCTCTGCAGCTGAAGCATCCGTGACCCGAAGTATTACAGCAACGTCAGCGATCTGGTTCCCACCACGTCTCGATACACGTGGGAGCAGTTTAAAGCTTATGAAAGTTTAGATGTATGTGGATTTATATGGGAGATTCCAAGAAAAGATCACTTCCTAATCGTTTAGAAGGTGAGAGTTGTATCCTTTTCTTACCAATCCCTGTCTAACGTCAGAGAAAGCACGCAAAACAAACAGCCTGTCAAAAAAAACATGGTCGTGATGCATTCATGATTCTCAGGAGCAGCACTGAATTCTCACCAAGCAGCCTTCAGTTCGCCTTCTCAGACACCAGCACCAAACCAGCACTAACCTGCTAGTCTGTGCCGTTTTTTTTTTCAGCAGGGATAATTTTCGTGTATCCATTTTAAGAAGATCTGGCAGAATTCCCTTTGCTTCAGGTAGCACTGATTGCTGCCTGCTGTTGTAATTCTGACTGGCCGGGCAAAACACCTGACCCTAATTTATCCAATCAGGCGTTTTTGCAGCTGCCTGGGAACCGAACAGCACCGTGCAAGAAAGATTCCTTGTCTCATTCATTGTATAATGGAAGATTAAAGGAAAGATTCTTAAAATAGATCACCATTAATGGTGCAGCACAGATGGCAGACGGAGAGAAATGGTTATTAGATGCTAACAGCAATGGCGATACCAAGAATAGTCAGTTATTATAATTAATACTATTAACAGTATTGATATCAGCTTTGGGGGGGGTTGGTACCTTACTGGGCAGCGCTGTGGTCTCACACTTGAGGGTTGGGGGTTTTGATCCCTGCCCCTACCGAGTGTGTTTCGATTTCACATGTTTTCCATTCATCTGCACAGGCTTCCTCCCAAAAACAAGTGGATAGGTGAACTAGTATCTCCAAATGACCCTTAGTGAATGAGATTGTCCTGTGCGATTGACTGGCATGCCCAGACGGGCGACCCCCTGTGTTTACTGGGCTGGGCTCCAGGCTCAGCGTGACCAAATAACGGGCAAATGGTTATGGAAGGGGAATGGAGGGAAGATTGGAGTTGGTGGACTCATATTTGCTGTTGCCTCTAGTGAGGCTGGTTTGCTGAGTTCCTGTTTGGCGCCCCCTGCAGGTGAAAGAGGCATCCCATCAACCCCAGCTAGCATTCCGTACACGGCACGCCACGGTGACCTTCCAGGCGGACGGGGACTCGTGGCGGGAGCAGAAGGAGCGACGTGCCGCTCTGATGGTGGGGATCCTGATCGGGGTGTTCGTGCTCTGCTGGATCCCCTTCTTCACGGCAGAGCTAGCCCAGCCGCTCTGCTCCTGCGACATGCCCCCCCTCTGGAAGAGCGTCTTCCTCTGGCTCGGCTACTCGAACTCCTTCTTCAACCCGCTCATCTACACCGCCTTCAACAAGAACTACAACAGCGCTTTCCGGAACCTGTTCATCCGGCAGCGTTGAGACGCCTGTCCTCGCATCTGTCCCGCTTGGAGCTCAGAGGGTCCATCGTGCAGGTTCCGAAAGGTCCAGCGTTAATCCCCTTCTGCCCGCAAAGTACAGATCCCTAAAGGCAGGCTGCTTTGACTGAGGCCCGCTGTTGCTTAACGCTAAACACACATGAAACCGCAGAGAGACAAATCTGTCGGCACTCGGGAAGCTGAGCCGACGTTCCAGAAGCTGATCGCTGTCCATGTCTGACGTCTGTCTTCCTCCGTCACACACTGGCTCACAAATACAACTTTCCATTAACCAGGGAGTAGTTGTGCTGAGGGGTATCAAGCGGATCTCCTTCTGGAAGCTTCCTCCAGATGCCCAGGGTGGACACTCGGCATACACATATGCTCTGCTGCACCTTGGGACTCTTGGACTCAAGTCCTGATGTTCTCCAAACCATGACACTAAATAACTTATCGAACAGACACTCATGTGCTCAATATGTATCACAGTCTGTAAGCTCTGAAAATTCCCAGTGAGTGTTTATTCGTCTGCTCCTCTTTCCGTCTTCGAAAAAGAAGCGATGCGATCTTCTCCATTCTCTAGCGCGTATCAGCCACAGAAAGGCAAAGAGATTAAGGAGCCAGACTATAAAGCCAGTAGTGATCAGTTGTCATGGCTAGATATGATATTTACAGACACAATTTAGGTTCGTAGCTGGTTAAAAGATACACATATATGTGGTCTATGTATCCTTGGTTGAGAATGTCTGTTAAGATGTAGCGAAATATGTAAACGTGAAGGGAACGCTTGTTTCTTTATAATGACAGGTGAGGAGTAGTTGACAGGACAGACGGCAAAAGGCTTCTTGTCAACACCAGACTTGTGCTGCAAGTCACACACATCTAGGTTCATCGGAATTCCGAAGCAAAGTATGAAAGTGCCGTTTGAAGGAGAGGAGTTCTGAAGAGTGGATGTTATTACCTCACAGAGGATTTGAGTTCTTACGCCACATCCTGCCACCCAAGGCAGGAAAATGTTCTAGTGGCATATTGGAAGGAACTCTCTGTTCGGTGTCGGTATTCAGTATTGCACGGCTGTGTGCACCATCCGATTTTTTATTGGAGGTGAATCCATCACTAGTGAAACACTACCTGACTTTCACCTTTTATTTTAGTTAATGAAATCACATTAAATTCTTTCCTGAGGGAATCTGTTCGCCATCTAGGCTATTAGAGAAATCGGTTAAAATTATATCTGTGAAGTCCACCTGTATTTGGACATCGATTTATCAAATGAGAGCTGTACTGACATAAATCTTGTTCCTCGCGTTTTGGAAAAAAAAAAAAACGGCGATGTGTTTGAGCGCAGGAATTGACAGCAATTAAAAGTGAGCGGCTTGTGACAGTGGTGCGATCACATTTGTGCTGCGGAACCAGAGGACATGGCGTTAAGCTGTGGTGACAGAGGAATATGGAAATTATGGACTGGAAACGCAAGAGAAGATATGAGATGACATGATATTCCTCTAACAAAATGATTTTTCTGTCGTTCTTTCACAGGTACTGTAATTGGCAACCATGCTACAATGAAATACAGGAACAAAATAATCAAATCCCCCCCCACCCCTCACGTAATTTAATTATCCCCCTTGTGTGTGTTTCTCTTGGAAGATAAAAAAGGAATTCTTCAAATCTCTGCCTATTCTCCTTGCTTCAAAGGACACACATTGATGTTATATGAGGAAGAACGCTGCATGTTGTAGGACAAAGACACAGGTTGAAATGATTTTTTTCTACCTGAAGGGTTTATTACTGTTTTTTTTTTGGTAAAATGTGTTTTGTTCACAGCCAGTATGTCTGCAATTTCAGGATAAAACCATCGCTGGCATCAATTTCTTACACCCGAGTAAATAACGATTAACTAAATAATTCAATAAATAACAATAAACCAAATAAATAAACTACTATATATAAAGAACATCCACGCGGTAAACCAATGTTTCTCAGTCCGGTCCTCGGGGATCCCAGGACAGTCCGTGTTTTTGCTCCCTCCCAGCTCAGTGTTGACTGTCTAGCAGGGAGCTGGGATGGAGCAAAAACGTGGACCGGATCGAGAAATACTGCTGTAAACCACCTGCTTTCTGCATGATTAATAAAAGCATTTGTACTCGTTGTATCTGATATTTTGCCACATTTGTTCTTTAGGTCATCAAAGCAGGGGAAAGTTAGGACGATTCCAAGGGCCCTAAAAAATTTGGAACTTAATTGTATTGGTCTGGGGGCCCAAAATCTCTAGCGGCACCCCTGCATCAAAGACATCCTTTACCTGGCACTGGACTTATGTGGGGGGGCAGCATGGTAGCACTGTTGCCTCACACCTCTAGGACCAGGGTTCGAGTCTCTGCCATGTGTGTGGAGTGTGCATGTTCTCCCCATGTCCTTGAGGGGTTTCCGATGGGGTCTCTGGTTACCCCACAGTCCAAAAACATGCTGAGGCTGATTGGAGTTAACGGATTGTCTCTGGGTGCGCATGTGTGATGGGTTGTTGCCTGCTTTGCGCCTGTGGGCTCCAGGATACCCCCTGCAACCCTGAATAGGACACGCGATTACAGAAGATGGATGGATGGACTCGTGAGGCTGAGTTTGAAGAGAACTAAACAAAATGAATGCAGTAATCCTGTAAATTGGTTGTAGGTGATCTGATTTTGACAGGGGTAAGTGTAACCTTAAAGCCTGACAAATCGTTGGGTGATCTTCTCTATAGCCAGATTTTTTATGCAGGATTTCAGTGGAGCTTTAGGGTTGTCTGAGTAACTAGGCTTCATCCAGGATCTTTCCATCAGAGTCCTGGTGCATCCACTGGAACACGCCTGCAGGATGTTCGGTGATGCACCTCCACTGTCGAGTGCATTTTCAGAAGACCCAGGAGATGTGGAGGAGTTCCAATGCGGTCACCCAGCAGAGCTGCAAAACGAAACCCCTTTGAAGGAGGTAACTTCCATGTCGTCCAGATATTCCATCTGGAGTGTATCTGAGCTATGCCTGGACCAAGGTATTATGAATCCCTAGGCAAGATTCTGCAATTGCATCCACCACCCCCCCCAAACACAATGAAATAAATAAAAAAAATAAACCCAAATATAGTTCACCTCTATAACATAAAATTTTTCTCAACCTGTTTGTTTATTCAAAGCACCAACAAAATATAAACATGAAGTTATTAAATGCAACAAATGCAAAAAGAGCAAATGTGTTGAATAAACACAAACATCAAAGCACGAAACACCCAAAGCTCAACTAGGCTTTGTAGCATATGCTGAATTTTAAATGCAACATGTTTCAAAAATCAGATGGTTCTCCACACATTTGAAGATCCCTCATTTGCATTCTAAATTAAAAAACGATGGACTGTACATTGAAAATGGAGGGATTATTGCAGTGAAGAATGTTAAGTGGTGAGATCTGATGCCTAACACTGTCGAAAAGGTAACATGCTTTTATTGGGTTTGAAAACATTTTACACTGAAGTGACAAACCTCGCAATGCAGGGGCAAAACAAATATTTGCAATTAATTTAGATTAAAAAACATTCCAGTAGTGCAAACTAGTTTAATAGTGAACTATTAAAACTCATCAGATTTTTATTACTGTCTAAACAAGAACATCAAACAATACAATTGCAGAAAAAAGTAAAAAATCAGACAGCATGGGGACAGGGGGGGAAATATTAACAACAAGAATAATAATTAAAATAATGAATTTTCCACATAAGGAAAGATAGAACAGAAGAAAGGAAAATAATAATAATTTAAAAGAATTAAAGAACTAACTAGCTGCAGTAGCGAAACACTTTAGTTGTTTTTGTTTTCCTCCTTCCTCCTTTCGCCATTTTCCTCCCTGAGCCCCAGATTCTTCTGAGTGCTTCATTTTCTTGCCAAATCACTGACTGCTCTGATGTTTAATGGGGGCTGCGGGTGCTTATCCCAGCAATAGATGTCGATATTTCTACCGTGCAAGTAACTTCAATGTCATGGAATGCAGCCCCAGGTATTTATACTGATGTTATTCACTCACTCTTCTGCGCCCCCAAATCAAACGCTGCTGTAGCTGATTGCCTACGTCAGGGGCGGGCAATCTTATCCAGAGACGTCCGCTGTGTATGTGGGTTTCCACGGCAACTCCCTAATTAGAGGACTAATTGGCTGAAGAGGCCTCACACCTGGGTTTGAACAGCTGACCTACAGGTTATCCCAAAAACCTGCATACACACCGGCCCTTTGCGGATAAGATTGCCCACCCCTGGTCTATATACAGTGCTCAAAAAAATTAAAGGAACACTTTGAAAACACATCAGATCTCAATGGGGGAAAAATCATGCTGTATATCTATACTGATATGGACTGGGTAATGTGTTACGAACAAAGGATGCCACGTTGTTTGTTGGAAATGAAAATGATAAACCTACAGAGGGCTGAATTCAAAGACACACCAAAAATCAAAGTGAAAAAATGATGCGGCAGGCTGGTCCATTTTGCTGAAATTCCATTGCAGCAACTCAAAATCGTACTCAGTAGTTTGTATGGCCCCCACGTGCTTGTATGCATGCCTGACAATGTCTGGGCATCCTCCTAATGAGATGATGGATGGTGTCCTGGGGGATCTCCTCCCAGATCTGAACCAGGGCATCACTGAGCTCCTGGACAGTCTGAGGTGCAACCTGGTGGCGTCGGATGGACTGAAACATAATGTCCCAGAGGTGTCCTATTGGATTTAGGTCAGGCGAGCATGGGGGCCAGTCAATGGTATCCATTCCTTCATCCTCCAGGAACTGCCTGCATACTCTCACCACATGAGGCCGGTCATTGTCGTGCACCAGGAGGAACCCAGGAACCACTGCTCCAGCGTAGGGTCTGACAATGGGTCCAAGGATTTCATCCTGATACCTAATGGCAGTCAAGGTGCCGTTGTCTAGCCTGTAGAGGTCTGTGTGTCCCTCCATGGATATGCCACCCCAGACCATCACTGACCCACAAGTATTGGTCTTGCTGAACAATGTCACAGGCGGCATAATGTTCTCCGCAGCTTCTCCAGACCCTTTCACTTCTGTCACATGTGCTCAGGGTGAACCTGCTCTCATCTGTGAAAAGCACAGGGCTCCAGTGGTGGACCTGCCAATTCTGGTATTCTGTGGCAAATGCCCATCGAGCTCCACGGTCCTGGGCAGTGAACACAGGGCCCACTAGAGGACGTCGGGCCCTCAGGCCACCCTCATGAAGTCTGTTTCTGATTGTTTGCTCAGACATGCACACCAGTGGCCTGCTGGAGGTCATTCTGTAGGGCTCTGGCAGTGCTCTTCCTGTTCCTCCTTGCACAAAGAAGCAGATACTGGTCCTGCTTATGGGTTAAGGACCTTCTACGGCCCTGTCCATCTCTCCTAGAGTAACTGCCTATCTCCTGGAATGTCCTCCATGGCCTTGAGACTGGGCTGGGAGACACAGTAAACCTTCTGGCATTGGCACATATTGATGCACCATCCTGGAGGAGTTGGACTACCTGTGCAACCTCTGTAGGGTCCAGGTATCACCTCATGCTACCAGTATGCAAAATGAGTGAAAAAAAACTGTCAGAAAAGATGAAGAGGGAAAAATGTCAGTGGCCTCCACCTGTTAAACCACTCTTGTTTTGGGGGTCGTCTCATTGTTGCCCCTCTAGTGCACCTGTTGTTAACTTCTTTAACACCAAAGCAGCTGAAACCGATTAACAACCCCCATTGCTACTTAACGGACTAGATCAATATCCCAGAAGTTAAATTGACTCGATGCTATACTCTGATTAAAAAGTGTTCCTTTAATTTTTTTGAGCAGTGTATATGTTGTCTATAGGGCAGGTCCGGTCTTGACCCGAGCCTTGAGTCCGACGCTACTTGGGAGAGACTCCAGGCCCCTCAAGGACCTAAAAAAACAACCAGTTTGGAGATGGATGGACAAGTGGATGTAAAATCTGCCCGATAGGCTTAGGTGTAAAGGAACAAGAACCTTAAGTCAGTCACTATAGCCATCGCTGACACTTGTTACGATATTAAATTGATCACATTGGAAATGATGATGAATAAGGGATCACAATGGATCCTTCTTCTTGCACCACAAATCCACCGGAAAAGGACAGTAAGCCACTGCTGAATTTGTGTGCCAGTCAGTATCTCCGCAAGCAGCAAGAAAACAAGCACATCCGGCGTTAATTGGATCGAGCGCTGTCGGTGAACATGAATATTTAATGAGACATCTCTCTCAGTTTATAACACCCCCTTCCCCCGTAGGATTCATTCAGTTATTTGGGGCGGGAATTGAGTCCATGGTGCACCGCCGAGAAAATGTCACGAATCGCGTCCAGTTTGATTATAATTGCCGGTTTTCTTACGGAAATGGCTCATAGGAGGGAGTGACAATCACGCGGAGATCAGGCGCTATGCAGCACAATCGATTTCGGCTCCTTATGAAACCCGGATAATTGGACATAAAACAACATTCAAAATAAATAGGAAAACAGAATGAAAACGCAGACAGGGGGAGAAAAAAGGAAGTGTTTGATACACAGATCTCTACTCGGCAAATTATTCTGAATGACACGAAACTCTGGGCTGCTTTTGGCTGTGCTTTTTAAGCCGTTCATTCGCAATCTTTTTTCCAGAAGGAAACTTTATAGACACTTAGTGGCAAATACC